GATTTGTTCATAAAGTTATCTGAATAACATTTTTCTTTTCGCTAACTAAAAATAAAATAATCTCCATAATTTTTTTTCCTTCAAATAATTTCCTGAACGCGGCCCAATCGATATTTGCATGACGCAAGAAGGAGTAATGAGGAACAATTAAAATTAATAGGAGGGATATTTGCACGGCTTAATGAACGGATTGCATGAATATTGTTTTAATTGACACGATTAAAATACTTTTAAGAAATATCTCGAAGAGCTAGCAATGAAATAAAAGGGAAAAAAAAAAACGACGGATGAAAGGAACACAAATTAGAAGTCTAATCACCGCAGGTGAAAATAGATACAGATATTAAAACACCATGCCAGCGAACATGATAAAACACGCAAAAAAAAACAAAACAAACAAACAAAAAAAAAACACCAATCACTAATTCCAAACCATCCTCCAAATAATATGCATCTTGGAGACGGTGTATGTATTTTTAGCTGCAAAACAGATACTGTTTATTTACTTGAAGGATATTTAAAACCACGCTGCTGGCGATTTCGGACTGCGCGGTATCCTCTAAGATTATTTTTTATGATCTTCATTTAGGTTTTTAAAAAAAAAATATTTTCATAATTCGAATATTTAAAAATGAAATTCTTACGCAAAAAACATTCATTTTAAAGGTATTGTAGAGTGCTAAGGCCTTCCGTAGAAGCCCTTGTACTTACTTCCCAGAAAGTTCTACAAATGTCTCTAAAAAAAAAATAAGAAGAAAAAAATCTCTGCAATGTTATGTAAAGTCTTGTTTAAATAAATTTTAAAACTAAAACTGGACACAAAAACTGGGGAACGATTCCTTAAAAGTCCAGATGCTATGACCAGAACAAAAAACAAAAAAATAACAAAAAAAAACCTAAAACAAAACCCTCTGATACTTTGGTTTGTAAAAAGTTTAGAATTACAAAAGACAAAACAAAACAACAACAAAAAAAAAAAAAACAACAACAAGAAAGAAACAATACATTTGGTAAAGTTCATTAGATTAATTATATACCAGGATATACACGAATGGCTTGGAAAGCTTGATAAAATAAGTACAGTTATGACCAGAACAAAAAACAAAAAAATAACAAAAAAAAACCTAAAACAAAACCCTCTGATACTTTGGTTTGTAAAAAGTTTAGAATTACAAAAGACAAAACAAAACAACAACAAAAAAAAAAAAAAAAAAAAAAAAAAAAAAAACAAAAAAATTGGAAAAGTTCATAAAATAAATTATATACAAAAAAAAAAAAAAAAGACTAGAAAAAAAAAAAAAAAAAAAAAAAAAAAAAACCTAAAACAAAACCCTCTGATACTTTGGTTTATAAAAAATTTAAAATTACAAAAAACAAAAAAAAAAAACAACAAAAAAAAAAAAAAACAACAACAAGAAAGAAACAATACATTTGGTAAAGTTCATTAGATTAATTATATACCAGGATATACACGAATGGCTTGGAAAGCTTGATAAAATAAGTACAGGAAATTCCCAGTTTCAGCTTTCTATTTGATTCGCTTTGATCTTTGTATCAAGGTAGATTGTGTGCGTCTTCCTCACACTTTGGAAGCACGAGCCTTTCTCAGTGTCCTTAACACTAAAGTGAGCCATTTGTTGGGTTAAATGCTTAAATTATTACCAGGTAAAGTCACATTTACACTTTACAGCTTGAACGTTTATTGAATTTATTGCTAGTTGAATATTACTTATGATCTATATAAACATTTTAAGTTTCTTAAAAATTATCTTAAAAAAAAAAAAAGACAGGCCTTTACTTAAGCAATTTTTAAATCTGATTAAGGTCAAGGTCTTCCTTACCGTTGTAGATATGTGTACATCGTTGTGTGTGAGAGATAAGGGGTTGTGTGTGTGGGTGGTTATAAAATAATTACATTTTTATCAACCTTGTTTTGTTTTTGTTTTTAGACTCCACGCCAAAAGAGCGACCCAAATTAAGGAAACACTATCTTGTCGGCGCTAAAGGCACGCTCGTCCCATCAAGTAGACAAACAAACATCAAGAACAATTGTGACAAAAAATGGAGGTGCCATTTTTTAAAGTATGTATTTATTGGTTAACGACAGCTGTTAAGAGATTCCATCTAAATCAATGTTCAAGTTTTGATGTTTTTTTAAAAATAGATTTTAATTTCTAATATTATCTACCCACCCCCCTTCCCCCCAGCCCCCGGTCATTCTCCTGTTCGTAAGTTTATTTAATCAACTGCCACGCCGTAGAAGTGTCACGACGTAGCAGTGTCACGCCGCACCAGTGATTATTTTATTTCGAATTTTAATTAATTATGTAAATAGTAATAATAAATAAGTAAACAAATCGCTTTCCCGTCTTCTTTAAAAAAAAAAAAGTTATCTGTCTAATGAATATTTTATTTCTCAGCGATTAAAAAAAAAATTTAAAAAATCAACAATTTGCTTGCGATTTGCTCCCCATCAAACATCGTGCCGTGAAAATTGTATTAGTGCTTCCAATGTGTACACACATCCGATGAACCTGTCGAGTACACTGCACAAGGTTAAACACACAATCAGGTGTAATCTAAAAAAAAAAAAAAGAAGTATTATTCTTTATGTTAGATATTGAATGGATCGACGTAGAATTACATTTGCGGGGCTAGTAACATCCCACAATGGATGCCTGGGGGCGATGTAGGGACCCATCCGTTAAACTCATGAAATCAATGTCAAGGCGACGCACCTGAGGCAGCGGAATAATTGTCAGGCGTTAGCGATTCAAGACTCAATGGGGGTTTAGACTTTCACCTCGTAAGATGGCCGAATAGAAACATTGTGTTTCATCATTAAATAAAAACATTGTGTTGTAGTATTTAAAAAAAAATAAAAACATCAAAATGTGACGTAAAGTTGTTTTCTTTTTGATTCATTCTCGAGACGGATCGAAGGGGAAAAAAAAAGAAAGAAATTATAACCGGGATATACTTCGTGTGACACCAACCCTGGGCTGAAACTAATGGAGTGGGGCTACATTGCGGATTCGGCATCCGAGTTGGAGTAAACAATTTTTTGTCTGCATCGACCTGTTTTGCATACCTGGCTAGTCAATTTCTTATCAGTCGACAACACTAAATAATTACGATTCGTACACTTTAAATTCGTTTCGTCCTTTATTTAGACGTTACACATCTTTTTGTTTCAGAAAATTGGTCGAAATTTCACATCGAAAATCTTGAAATATTGTTAGAACTTACAGTTTGAAGGTGAAACAAACAGAAAACTAATCTAAACATACCTGTGTCATGACGTAATACACAGAAATAAGATGCTTCTACCTGCAAGTTTAATTAATTTAAACAAAAAAATTGTTGTTTGAATTAAATCATACGTGTGTAAGATCTCAATTGTATATGTAAGATCTCAGTTATACATGTAAGATATCAATTGTATATGTAAGATCTCAATTATACTTTTAAGATCTCAATTATATTTGTAAGATATCAATTATATATGTTAGATCTCTATTATACATGTAAGATTTCAATTATATTTGTAAGATCTCAATTAGACATGTAAGATACAAATTATATATGACATATATTAATTATACATGTAAGATCTCATTTATATTATTATGTAAGATATCACTTTAAATGTAAGATATCAATTATACTTGTAAAATATCATTTATACATGTAAGATCTATATTATGCATGTAAGATCTCAATTATTCATGTAAGATCTCAATTATTCATGTAAGATATCAATTATACAATTGCGATCTCTTTTGGCTGATTTGTCCTGGAAAAAAAACAGAAATCATATCACCTTAAAAGGTTTAAAATCTCCCGTTATTGCAAGGGAAAAAATCCCCTAGTTTCAATTTTATCTTCCTGTTGGTTTAAAAAACATATTTTCTCACTGCTAGTTGGTGTTAGGTTAAGAAAATCTTTTTTAAAATTTTGTATCCTTTTATATTTGGTATCCCGTTTAAATCACATGATCATAATCGGGGAAAAAACAACAAATAAACTTGTACAAAATGAAGTGGAGGAGAGTATAATGTGTATCAAATGTTTGTCTGCACTTTGATCAATCTGAATCTAATATTGGCATTCTATGACACACGCTTGGAATATTCATTAGAGGCTGAATTATTCAAAACGTTTGAAGTTATGTTTCCATGTTGTTGAAACTCATCTGTGATATAAAGACATACTTGATATACGTCTCAGAAACAAAGACGTTAAAGGTGATTTGGATAGAGGTGCACGTAGGGTGGTGCTGTGAGGGGGGGGGGGGCTATGGTGCAGTTGTTTGGAACATGGCAACAATGCCAAGTTTGGAACGTGGCCCTACCTTTATATAAAGACATACTTGATATACGTCTCAGAAACAAAGACGTTAAAGGTGATTTGGATAGAGGTGCACGTAGGGTGGTGCTGTGAGGGGGGGGGGGCTATGGGGCAGTTGTGTAGAACAAGGCAACAATCCCAATATTGGAACGTGGCCCTACCTTGTCACGTCCCATTCTTTACACCTGCACAGTCTACTCGTTTCATTGCTTTCGCCACTTCTTTCTTCTTTTCTTTACAACATTATTGTTATAGCTTATTTTTATTATCCAAGAAATTAATATAAATTAAAACATATTGTGTATGGAGACGTGACACATTTCTGCGTCATTCGTGTGTGTGAGTGTCTGTGTGTCATGCCTGGAAAATAAATTATAAAACTTAATTGTGAAATCGCTGTTTGAGCGTTTGACCTACAAACTACCGGTTCACATTCGAGGTGAGATGACAACTATTGAATAATCGATTTAAACAAAACCAACTTAACCTGTTATAGCTAGAGTGTTTTTCTTTTTGAAGGTTGCACCAAATATATTTCAAATGCCGTCTGTTACTATGAAGCAACATTCTCTTAAAAATGGCATTGTTTAATCTTTAATTTTGTCACTCGAACATCTTCCGGGAATGTTTCCCTTTCTGTAACACACTGCCAACAGTTCATGAAACGTGTCTCTGTACTTGGAGCTCATCGTGTAGTACAAGATTACCGTCACGCTTGAGTTGAAAGAGTCGAACAGGAAACCAAAGGACCAGGTCGCAAAGAACAGGTTCGTGTACTTCCCTACGACCCCAAAGCCCGGGACCAGGAACCCCGCCGCACTGAGGACGACCGATGGGGTGAAGCAGACGATCAAAACAATGGCAATGACGACCACCATACGGACTGCTTTCTGGTCTCTACTGGACATGGCGTCGGATTGCTCTTTATCTGAAGTCGAGCCGGTGCGCCATTTTGTCTTCCGCTTCAGTTCGATTACCAGCAGAGCGGTGAGCACGATTTCGAACAAAAACGATACCAAAATATACACGGCGTAGAGTAGAAATGTTAGACCCGATACCTGGTCGTTTTCCTTTCTAACGACCAAGCCTAGGAGTGTTTGATTCTTGTCGGCGTAAAACTTCCAGCCGATGTACATTGTGCAGTATTCCGGTAGAAGCGACGCCATCATGATGATGTAGATGGAGCACACAATGAAGGTCACTCTCCTAGTGGTGATGAGGCGCCCGGCTTTGAACGGCGTGACCACACACAGGCACCTCTCCGCCGTGATGAACACGGTGATCCAACACGTGATCCGCGTGAAACAAGCCTTGACGAACCCGCCGGTCAAGTGCTGGACCTCTGACGGAACCATGGGCACGCCGGAGTTGACGAACAAAGGGTTGAAGCACAGGATGTACCACTGGAGGGCGATGAGCCCGCAGAGGTCGGAGACGGCCAGCCCCATGAACGTGATGTTAGCCGTCTTGTCCAGTCCTTGTCTGACCAGGACGGCGATCGTGACGATATTACCGACAATGCCGAAGAGGGCGAGGGAGCTGCTTAAGAACACGTAGTTGATCACTTCTATGACGTGTCGCGTCTCGTCGCTGAGGAGAATGTCTTCAGGAAGCAAATTCTCAAACACTGCCTGGCCGCTGGACATGGTCAAATTTCTGACTCTTGTAGAATTATGAGCGTATAATTATTATTTTTTTCCAGTGATTACCACAATAAAAAAATAAATATCTGATAATGCATTAATACCTCTCTTAAAAAATCAATAGTTTTCAATTATATGGTGAATTTTGTAATGACAAGAGAATAAGAACATTCAATGTGTACTAACACTAGCCGGGGTACAATGAACAACACATAAATAGATTTTATTTGAATTTTTGCCAGCCAAACATCACTCATTGAGGTACTAGGGAAAAGAGAATAAAACGTAGAATACATGTCTACCAGATTATAAACAGCAACGTGATGTAAAGAGTTTTTTCTTTACTTGAAATGTAACACTAACATAGCGTAAATAATTAGTGCTCTGTCAGACAGAATCAATAGATACTTTAACGAAAATCGCTGATTGCATGGGAACTGGTCATTATCACCCACAATCATAATTTTAAATAAAATTTCCTGATGCTCAAATTTTAAAAAAAACTTGAACAACCTATAACTTTTATGACCTCATCCTTTCGTTCAGATTTAAGAACAGGAATTATGTAGCTGGTTAAAATTTGCCAGCCCGATCTTAGCAATGAAGGAAGCGGGTTAACTTTTTTTAAAATTCCAGGTTTAACATCAGCAACAGTGAATCATTGGTGTAACTTAACTATCGCTGACACATCAGCTTTGAAAGCGTCGCTGACTCAAGTACAGTCATTGAGTCAAGTGTGGCCAATCAGTCATGCATGTTTGACATCGTTTAAGGGTAATCAGAGCCATTCTGTCCGGGAGTATTGATCTAAGGTCATACTTCGCGGATCCGAGTAATTGACCTCTTGTTTCCAAGGACTAGGATGAACTCGGGAAATAACCATCACCTATATTACATGAGTTGGGGGAGCTTTTCAAATATTTATTCAAAATTACAAACCTCTTTCAAAAAAAACTATGTACGAATGCACTTAAAAATATCCAATTTCTTCAATGTAAATGTGTTTGAAAATCTGTATTTATATAGATCTAGTTTTAATAAATCCCATTAGGTATTACCACCCAGCTCCCTCCCCCCCCCTTTTCCGGCCCCTATTACTGTATTTATTTAGTTTCTAAAAATCCAGACTTGCTATTGCACCCCCCCCCCCCAATGTAATCTGAATTTATTTCGTTTAAAAAAACCCACCAGGTTATTACCACCCCCAGCCCTCCCCACCTTGTTTTTTTTTAAAAACAATTTTAAAACACATGCTCGTAAAAGAATAAGTTTAATTACAACGCTGATATTATTTTGTGCATTGAGTTGTCAATTTTGTTTCAAGCCAAAATAAAAGTTCACCATTTGAATGTTTCTTTTATTGGCGATCTCCATGGACAGGTCAGAGAATGTGATGATGGGGACCAATCACTCCCTTTATGGGGCCGAACAAATGGAAACTTATTACATTATTAACCAGGGCCTAGACCCCCGTCGTTGGCCGATCGTATAATCTTGGAGTACGATTCTGATTTGGGTCGTCAGCATACGAAACGGGCGAATTGTGCATTCAGGCAATGGTGATCAAACAAAACTTGCCAATGAATTCGCAAATCCTATATTTTCTGCGTTAATATTTCTTAGCAGTTGATGTATCGACTCTGACTTGACATCTGTTATATGCATTATGGTGTTGGTGGACTGCTTCCATTTCCAGCTGCTTCTTAACAAGCTGGCTGCTTCCTAAACAGCGATTTTGGTACTGAGATTATTTTCGTAGCTTTTGCTTTGCTTTTCTGTGACGTATATTTGAGTATGGGAAATGGCGTAGTTGATGTTGTTATGAGTTATATCTAAAGAGTTTTCTATTTTTGAAAGAAAGTATGGTTCAATAGTGAGCTAAATAGCACTCAAAATATAATTCCATTGATAACTATGCTAAATGAAATTTAAAAAAAAAAAAAAAAAAAAAAAAAAAAAAAAAAAAAAAAAAAAAAAAAAAAAAAAAAAAAAAAAAAAAAAAAAAAAATAAAAAAAAACAAAAAAAAAAATAAAATAAAAAAATAAAAAAAAAAAAAAAAAAAAAAAAAAAAAAAAAAAAAAAAAAAAAAAACCAACCCAACGAACACAAATAAATGCAATTGCGTTTGGTGCGTAATATTTTCTTTCCTTTTTTGGAAAATGAAATCGTCTCAATTTAAAATATGATGTAATAAATATTTGTTTTAAGGAGTGTTTGGGACATCAGAATATTTATGTGTTTCATGGGCGTGAAATACTGGTTTGAGGAGAAGTCTACGTGCGTGGGTTGAGCAGAAGTCTACGTGTGTGGTTTAAGGAGAAGTCTACGTGCGTGGGTTGAGGAGAAGTCTACGTGTGCGGTTTGAGGAGAAGTCTATGTGTGTGATTTGAGGAGAAGTCTACATGTTTTGTTTAAGGAGAAGTCTACATGTGTGATTTGAGGAGAATTCTACATGTGTGGTCTAAGGAGAAGTGTACGTGTGTGGTTTGAGGAGACGTCTACATGTGGGATTTGAAGAGACGTCTTCGTGTGTGATTTGAAGAGACGTCTTCGTGTGTGATTTGAAGAGACGTCTGCGTGTGTTGTTTGAGAACTGGTCTACGTGTGTGGTTTAAGGAGAAGTCTACGTGTGTGTTTTGAGGAGAAATCTACGTGTGTGATTTGAGGAGAAGTCTGCGTGTTTTGTTTAAGGAGAAGTCTACGTGTGTGGTTTGAGGTGAAGTCTTCGTGTGTGGTTTGAGGAGAAGTATACGTGTGTGGTTTGAGGATAGGTCTACGAGTGTGGTTTGAGGAGAAGTGTACGTGTGTGGTTTAACGAGAAGTATACGTGTGTGGTTTGAGGAGAAGTCTACGTGTGTGGTTTGAGGAGAAGTCTACATGTGTGGTTTGAGGAGAAGTCTACGTGTGTGTATTGAGGAGAAGTCTACGTGTGTGGTTTGAGGAGAAGTCTACGTGTGTGGTTTGAGGAGAAGTCTACGTGTGTGGTTTGAGGAGAAGTCTACTGAGTGGTTGTAGGATAAGTCTACGTGTGTGATTTGAGGATAAGTCTACGTGTGTGGTTTGAGGATAAGTCTACGTGTGTGTTTTGAGGAGAAGTCTACGTGTGTGGTTTAACGAGAAGTATACGTGTGTGGTTTGAGGAGAAGTCTATATGTGTGGTTTGAGGAGAAGTGGAAGTATGTGGTGTAAGGAGAAGTCTACGTGTGTGGTTTGAGGTAATAAATGAGTGTGGTTTGAGGTGAAGTCTTCGTGTGTGGATTGAGGTGAAGTCATTGTGTGTGATTTGAGGAGAAGTCTATGTGTGTGGTTTGAGGAGAAGTCTACTTGAGTGGTTGAGGTAATCTACGTGTAGTTTGAGATGAAATCTTCGTGTGTGGTTTGAGGTAATAAATGAGTGTGGTTTGAGGTGAAGTCTTCGTGTGTGGATTGAGGTGAAGTCATTGTGTGTGATTTGAGGAGAAGTCTATGTGTGTGGTTTGAGGAGAAGTCTACTTGAGTGGTTGAGGTAATCTACGTGTAGTTTGAGATGAAATCTTCGTGTGTGGTTTGAGGTAATAAATGAGTGTGGTTTGAGGTGAAGTCTTCGTGTGTGGATTGAGGTGAAGTCATTGTGTGTGATTTGAGGAGAAGTCTATGTGTGTGGTTTGAGGAGAAGTCTACTTGAGTGGTTGAGGTAATCTACGTGTAGTTTGAGATGAAATCTTCGTGTGTGGTTTGAGGTGAAGTCTAAGATTGTTGTTTGAGATGTCTACGTGTTACGCTTCAAATGTCTACGAGCGAGGTTAGACAAAAATTCATTCTACGTTCTTGGTTTAGGTTATTATTTACGTATTAGATTTAGTTACTAATATACATGTACAGTTTAGTTGGTCATGTAAATGTGTGGCTTAGGGGGTAATCTAAATGTATGGCTTAGATGGTAATCTGAATTTACGGCTTAGGTGGTAATCTAAATTTATGGTTTAGGTGTGAATCTAGGTGTATGTTTAAGGTCGTAATCTAATTGTAAGGTTTAGGTGTGTAATCAAGGCGTATGGTTTAGGTGTTAATCTAGGTGTATGTTTAAGGTCGTAATCTAATTGTAAGGTTTAGGTGTGTAATCTAGGCGTATGGTTTAGGTGGTAATCCAAGTGTATGGTTGGATAGTAATCTACGTGAGTATTTTAAAAATGGGATAATAGGGATATTGTTATGATTCATCAGAAATAATTTTATCGTCATTAATATCTATACATCTGACCATGTAGTTATGATTTGAAGCAATAAATGTGTCTACCTACTTTTTTTTAATATGAAAACATCCTTATCATGTCTTGTTGGCTCCCTACTGTCTCGTAAAAACTTTTTCAACAGAAAACACAATAACACATTTCGTCAAATAAATCATTTAAAAAATATTTTTTTGCACAACAAAAAGTGTTATGTGGGATGTAAAACATGGGGGTTTGGGGTGGTCATATTCTGTAATTAAAACAATATTAAATTTAAATAAAGTGCAGTAGTCCATTCAGGGATCATCCATTGTGCAGTAGTCCATTCAGGGATCATCCATTGTTTTGGTAACTCCCGAACACGCCGTAAAAAGGATATTTAGGAGAAATCAACAGAAGTTTGTCAAAAATTAATGAAAATGCCTAGAAAACTTGCGATCAATGGGACTATTGATGAGTTCAAAGCTGGACGCTGTCCTACGATAGTGCTGATTTAAGGTTCCAAATCAAATGAAATTATTGATGGCCATTTGATCACCTGATTTTGTACACGGCAGATTAAAAGATCCGGAATAATTGAAAAAGTTTTGAAAAATAAAAAAATCGTTCGTCATTTCCTTCTATTTATTCAAGTATAAAATTATGAATTTCAATGAAATCATTGGAGCAATATTGACAAGGAAGCCTTATAAATTTGAACAGGTAACCACATGCGTGAACATAACCTACTAACTGATAAATCTTTTTTAAATGATGTATGTAAACTTTTTTACATGAAGTATATAAACCTTTTTTAAATGAAGTGTGAGGCAATCTACGTGTAGTTTGAGGTGAAATCTTCGTGTGTGGTTTGAGGTGAAGTCTAAGATTGTTGTTTGAGATGTCTACGTGTTACGCTTCAAATGTCTACGAGCGAGGTTAGACAAAAATTCATTCTACGTTCTTGGTTTAGGTTATTATTTGCATGAAGTATATAAACCTTTTTTAAATGAAGTATATAAATCTATTTTTACATGAATTATATAAAACTTTTTTTAATGAAATATATAAACCTTTTTTACTTGGTGCATATAATCATTTTTTTAATGAAGTATATACACCTTTTTAATGACGTATATAACCCCTTTTTACATGAAGTATATAAACATTTTTAAGGAAGTGTATCAACTCTTTTTAAATGAACTCTATTTTAATAAAAAAAGACTGACATATTTTCTATCTGCGTTTTAATTATTCATCCCTTTCCCAAGAGATACAAACGAATTCAAATATGAAAACAATTTTTTTTAAACTCATAGAAGAAACACTAAATAACACACATATCTTTTCCAATGATGAAAACAATGGCACGCATGAAATAATTAGACTAAACAGACAAAACAGCCCTTGTCATGGACTTGAAGAAACACCGTGGTGGAAAACAAAAATTGTCACCACAAAAAATGACCCTGCCGCTACTTATAGTCTCAAAACCAATTTTCACAAACACGAAATAGCGCTTATCAATTTAAAAAGACGCCAAAAAACGCGTAAGACATAAAGAATACTATTTTTTATTGCGAACATTAAGAGAATTGTAAAAGTTGGGTGGTTTCTAAAGACATGTTCTGAGGCGACATGGAAATGGTAAGCCGAGGAAGCTGACGTCTTATGCATCAGTTTAAAAGGTCAATAGGCCAATGTGTCATTAGGTCACTTATCACATTATCGCAGTCTTTATACATATGATAATTATTAGCTGTATAAACTTTTGTATAATAAAAAAAATAATGATTAGTCATATCTAACAATGAAATATAGGTTTATTCGTATTTTATTTAACTACGTTGTTTTTATGTTAATTTAAAAAAAAATAATTTCGTTTATATTTACACTAGATAAAAACATTTGTCACTTAAGTGTCTCTACCAGATTGATGTCCTAGTGATTTTTATCCTGCTTGTATCGTGATGAGTGTCCTGCTTAACCGTCATATGTCCAATTGTGTCATAATTATGTGTATTCCCATAAAATGTCTTACGATTGTTTGTCTCATGTCCACCGTTATTCGGACGAATTCCATCTCATTTAAAACGGTCAGACCCTCATCGTCTGGTAAGTCTTAGCCGGGTTTAAAGATCTATTTTGCTGTATTTTAGAGTAGAAATTACCATTTTACCTTCAACAACTTCATTGCACTCTTTTAAGTTTCATAATTGATAACTAGGATGAGTTAAGATGCGAATAACACAGAATTACCAAAAGCGAACTGTGTTTGCCTCTACACCCGTCTCAGTAAAAGCCATTGTATTCAAGAAACATTTCCCGTACGAATTAAATGACTCAAGTAAGTGTCCTTTCAGGAGAATATGTTATTTTTCGGTCTCTCTTGATTCGCCCTCTTCAGGTTTCCAACACATGGTAAAGATGTCCTGAAAAGTTCGTCTGTACTTGGAGCTCATCCTGTAGTACAGAATTATGTCGACGCTGGCGTTGACTGCCTCAAAGAGGAAGCCGAAAGACCAGCACATGAAAAAGAAATTGGAATGTGCTCCGACGACACCATAACCAGGCACGATGTATGGGATCACGTGCAGGATGATGGACGGCGCGCAGCAGACGATGAAGACTATCGCGATAACTATAACCATATTTATGGTCTTCTTGTCGCGGGAAGAGAGGGACTCTGATTGTTTCGACTGAGAGGTCAATTTTGTACGCCATTTTGTTTTCTTTTTCAGCTTGTAGATTAAAAGACACGTTAGAAAAACAACGCCAAAGTAGGCCATGAATATGTAAATAAAATAAATCAAGGACGCTAACCCCTCGACATTCGGTCGGTCTGCTGTAAATTTCAAGCCAAAAAGAGTTACGTTAGTGCCTTCGACAACTTTCCAGTCCAAATAAGCGGTGGTGTACTCAGGAATTAGCGGGACTATCATGAAGACGTAAATGAGAATCAATATCGCAGTGACTCTCTTAGGCGTAATGATTTTGTTAACCTTTAGGGGCGCAGTGATACACAGACATCTCTCCGCCGTGATGAACACGGTGATCCAATTGGTCACGCGGGCGAAGCAGCCTCTCGGCCACCCTCCGGTCAAGTGCTGGACTTCTAACGGTAAAAATGGAACATTCAAGGTCCGAAACAGCGGGCTGACACAGATGTCGAACCATAGAAGCGACACCAAGCTCCCGAGGTCAGAAATGGCCAGTCCGGTGAAGCTGATGTTGACGGTGTTGTTTAGACCTTGCCGGTAAAATACGGCGATGTTGACAACGTTAGAGACGATGCCAAAGATGGCGACAATGCTGCAGAGAAAGACGTAGTTGATCAATTCAAAATAACCTCTAGTTTCATCGGACAGCGATATTTGGTTGTCGTTCAATGGTTGCCTCACTGTGTCTGTTGTGGTGTTACTAATTTGGTTTTCCATTTTCTTTTCTTAAAATGTTTTTACGGTGAAGCTACCTTTTTAATATATTTTTTTTTCGGTCTTGTTGAATAAGAAAGAATGTTATAAAATAAAATAGTAAAGTGCATACGAAAAAAATTATAAAAGTTTTCTTTAAATGCACACGTCTGTATGGTAGGCTGTTATAGTGACTTAGAGAATGATTATGCTGAATGTCGATTCAAGTTTTAACTTAATTTTTTTTGTACATGAAATACATTGGCCATTCGTGTATCAAGCAAAGTCTGACAATTGTAAACATCTTGAACTGAAATGTCTGCCTGTATAAAGCACAAGTAATAATTAGTCTAATTATATACAAGGGAAAACGTGGCGTTAATTAATTCTCCAAGTTTCAATAATTGACAATATAACATCTTAGAAATTATGAGTTGAACAAAAATTTTCATAGTGTATATTTATGAAAGTCATGAATAATTGGGAAAAGTTATATGTATAAGATACTCGAATACACTAAACAAGAGGGGGGGGGCGCTTATCTAATAAATTTATTATTATAATTTCATTGGGATTTCATAGTTGTGTAAAGTATCGAATACACCCCAAAGATCACGCTGTTGTAACTGTCATTATAAGACTTCATGTCACGCCCCCATTTGACGAGTTAATCCGTATGTTAAGAAATTAAAGTTTTGATTTGTGTTAACTTAATGTCCTAATAACATCTATTAGCCGTGTGTGTTTAATTTCTACTACCACGATAATTTCAGATCTACGTCTGACTCACTGCCAGGTAGGTCATTTAACATTGATATTTATGAAATACTTCGATCCCTTTACACTGAAAACACCAGTCTACATCATTATTAACATTGGATTGTCATTTTCGCAATAACCACTCTGGCAGTATCTAGTTATAATTTTGACTAATATCTTGCATATCTAAAAACTTTTATTTTCTTTTGAATAGACATTAAACACGGAAATTATCAACGTATTGATAATAAATATTTAATCTCGCTTACTGAAAAGACAATGACTTCATTATTGATCAAATTTGTATAATCTTTTGATCAAACTAGTAATTTACTCAATGTACAAAGGCATAGACAATGAAATTAAATGCTATACACGAGAGGCACTGTTTTTTGTCGCCAGCTTGTGCTTGAAATACTTGCAAATCTCTTATGGAAAATTGAATAAAAATCATTTCTCTTTCAGCAACTAATCTATTTTAAAGCTCTATCGCAGTCCAGCTCTTTCCGCAACAATGGACATTTTGATAGCTTTGTTCGGCGGTTACAATGTTTTAGATGTTTACGTTCTGGGCGTAGACCCCAATAACAATGGCATCGTTTTCATGTTCCTACCCTTTTACAAAGTGACCACTTTGTTGCTGCTACACCTTTTAAAGCAACTAATATTCCAATGGCCAATGCAGTGTTCGCAGAAATTTGCACAGAATCTTCAATTAACGGCCAGTTGTCCTGAAAATTTTAAAAAGATACATACAGTTCAATCTAAGAGAAATTTTTTTTTTGTTCTTAGAGAGTGTAGTGGAGTATAAAGGATGATTTTCGACACTGGTCTAAGTAATTTTATTTGGGAACATTTAAAGGTGACCCTTGAAGATCAGTCACATGAATGCCGGTTGTTTCTCTTTTCTGCTACTAAAATATTCTTGGTGACAGTAGTATCTCGTATCAACCAGTTTTATCTGCATGGTGTCTCACCTCAATTATACTTGATTATGAAGACACACACATGTTAAGATGGTCCGTCAAGTACTCATCGAATATGGAGATTGTGCAGAAATTTTACTAACAGAATATGCCATTATTGAATTATTAGCAAAGGAAATGTAGTTCCTCAAATAGAACTTCATAAAATATTGCAAATCGATTACAGGTGTCACAGGTTGACCGTGTCCCCTACGTCGAGGTCATGGTACTCTCAACAGAAATGGCGTTTCTCTGGGGCTATTGTATCACGGGGGAAAGTGTATGAATGTGAGTGTCTATACGTTGTCTTTGACTAACATTAGCACGCCTTTGGGCGTTAGTTCATCGTGGTTTCAGGGCAGAATTTAACTACAGTCTTTGGCGAGGTTTGCGACTTGGAGGCGTCATGGGTTAAGGCTGGGGGCGGAATGAGCGGGTATATAAGGGACACAGAATTTAGTTATTTTACTGACCAACAACTTCAGTCCACACATGAGACTTCTCTCGTGCACTTTTAGACTTGGAAAGACCTTTTACCAGTTTTGCCTCAGTAATCCACATAGAGAGATGAGTGTATGTACAGAATGTGGTCAATTATTGACGATATGACTGACCCTTCAGTAGAATAGAAGCTACAATCATCCAAGGCTCCGCTGTAAAAAGGGTTTAACGTCTCGCATGAAATATATTTTAGAATTGTTATATCGTATCTTCTCTTGTGTTAGTCACACAATCAGCTACATTTGTGTGACAACCATATATATTTCCTCGCGTACCTCTTAGTGCATTTAATATCATGTTTGTGTGACAACTATTTATATTTCATTGCATATTCCTTAATCAAATTTCATACATATTTCACAGTACATTCATTGTAGACTTCATACACATTGTCGAGTATGAGCGTTCATTAGTAATTGTTGCGACTCAGTATTATGTTCATTAGTTGTTGAACGCTCTTCCCGCCATTGTCTCTATAAAGTATTTTTATGATGATTGGTAAAGTGTTGTCTATGCAGTATTGTGACGTATGTTTTAGTCGTGCGGCAGTCTTGAGTGGAACCTTGGAGTGATAGGATGTGTATTATTTAGGTCTGATAGCGAGCTGCGCTATATTCATGTGTTATGTGTATTAAATTTACTTTGACATTAAAGTTATAATTATGATGAAAAGGAGTTGAGTTTGTTCAATGGTAGTGGGAATAGTACGACGCTTCAACGTGTGAAAAGAACTTGACGAATGTAATCAATCCAAGAAGACTGTAGGATTTGAAACACATGCATACTATATTCAATTAATAAAATAGCTGTTGTTAAGTTGAGTTAAATCGCTGCCTTATTTTCTTTATTACATTATGGTTGCGTTTCCTTGGGCGAATTTAAACATGGTGGTGTCAGACATGTTTTAGAAGACAGACAAAGTATCACTAAGCATAAGGGAGCTCGTGACAATGGGTAATAGTGTTTTTATCCGAGTAGATCAAGACTTGGTGCACTACGGTAATTCGGAGATTGAGAAGTGAAAAGTTGCGCAAGCAGGTTTCATACAAATTTTAAAAATAATCATTATATGATTGAAGTCCTGTGACTGTCAAGGATGAACTTCAAAACGATCCTGTTAAAGAGTTAGTTCACTAAAGTCTTCGCCGCTTATTTTTTTTTCTTTCTAGAAAATAAATTTACCTTTTTAAAAATGTATTACGCAAAGAAAGACTGTGCAGATGTGAAGAGTATCACTCTATGTAGACAAAGGATTGGAACTGAATGTAGACAGAATTTTAAAACTTTAATTTCAATTAATTTTTCAACATTTGTGAGTAAATCATTACTTTAAAAAAATACCATTTCCTACTTTTTTTTAAAAGCGTTTTGACTCGTCTTTGATGGAAAGTCTTTTCTATAATGTCTTTTTATAAATACTTTGTATTTTCTACTTTTTAAAATTAAAATTGTATCCTAAAATTGTATCCTAAAATTGGACCCTAAAATTGTATCCTAAAATTGTATCCTAAAATTGTATCCTAAAATTGTATCCTAAAATTGTATCCAAAAATTGTAACCTAAAATTGTAACCTAAAATTGTATCCTAAAATTGTATCCTAAAATTGTATCCTAAAATTGTATCCTAAAATTGTCGACAAAGGTCTAGTTCTTTACTACTTTTAAAAAATCGAATGCTTACAAAACCAAGATGGAAATGACTTAGCTCTTTCCCTATGCATAGAACTAAAAAAAAAAAAAAAAAGATCTGACCTACCTACCCATCCGTTTACGCATCGAAGTAGACGCTGACCACCAGGATAATTTGATGGACAGTGTTAACCTACCTCCGTCTATCGAATAATCTTTTCCTCGCGTTCACCAGATGAACACTGCACGAGAAAGACTCAAACTTTCAATGTCACGTGTCAAAACAAAAAAACTAAGTCTCCACAAGTTGTAAATGATAATGTTCAACAATATGGAAATGCGAATAAAGAGAAAGACTTTAAAAATGTAATTGCCTATTATATGAAAAGTGCATTATGCTTTACAGTTCACGAAATATTTAATTTAAAAAAAAAATGTTTGGGGCATAAGAGTGCCACACTTTTTGGCTTATGAAATTATGCAGACTCACTCGCATATCTCAGGAACTCATTAAACGTTGTAAAAAAGAAGACACATAATTCTTAAATAAGGTCTTTTAGGGTAAAAAAATTGGGCCAATTTGTTCGACCCCAGCCACCTTAGAATACCAAGTGACTGTCTATTTGGTATATACATAAGGTATCACATGAAACAAACAAAATAATATACCATTTATTCCGTTGTTTGTTTTCTTGCTTTGGTATTCTTTAGGCTCAGTGATTTTCTTTAAAAAAAAATCACAATAAGAAGTTATAAATGTTACATACAATATTTTTATGTATAAGAAGAAAATGTCAACGAACTTCAGAATGAAAGTCCACACCATTCAATTTTTATGTCTACAACGAAGAAAAGTACTCTTGATCATTTTTATAATTTTACGACTGAATTTTTAGACTTATCAATTTAAAAGCCTTAGCCTTGTACTGTTTTAGATAGATCTACTACGTCTAGCTAAAATATATAATAATAACATCATAATTTCGCTTTTCTTATTTGTCGATGTTGAAACTTGCGTGGACAAATTGTGTGGCTGTAAATTTGTATACGGGTAAGAGTGCTTGTTATGACATAGCATATTACATTTAAGGAATAATAAAA